TTTAGTTTTCTGCTACTCTGTCCTCTCTTGATACGCAAACAGATGCCTTTATGTCCTCTGTGTTTTCTTGAAGAGAAAAACAGAGGACATAAAGGCGTCCAGTTTTGTATCAATAGAGAACAGAGAAGCAGAAAACTAAATGTCCTATATGATGGCCACCCTACCTAAGAGTGTCCTCTGATGGCCACCCTAACTACCTCTCAAGAAAAAATAGAAGACATAAAGGCATCTGGTTTCGTATCAATAGAGGACAAAGGACAGAGTAGCAGAAAACCAGAATGCCCTCTATGATGGCCCTCTACCTAAGAGTGGTGGCAGGAAATAGACCCAGAGACCCCAGCAGCCTGGGAAGGAAGCGATGGCGACAGCAGGAGCAGGCTATGGAGGAAGGTGGTAACAGCCTTGGAGAGTGGTACCCAGAACTGCGCGGTCGTGAAGGGGAAAGAGCCTGTGGACCACAAATTAACTTATTTATGCCCACTTGGTCAGCCTTAATCATTCTAGAAAAGGCTAGCTTTGAAAGAAGGAAAACACTTCATTTTTTGTATTCCCGTGGCTGCCTGTCTGTAGAAGAATAGTATTTCAGTCCAGTAACTGAAGACTGAGTCAGTTTAAATTTCGGCAGAGAATGATGCTTTTCCTTCAGATAAGGCACTTGTTTCTCTCTCCTTGCCTGCCCTATTCATCAGTACCCCTGCTCCCTTTGAGAGCTTTCATTTGCTGCTTTAAAATTCTTCTGATGTTATTAAATTGGATCGGCTTCTGCTGGATCAGCCTTCTCAAAGGTATAAAGGATCCCTGTCTTTGAGTAGAAATGAAGAACGGTACCTTCTCCCAGGATGCCAGCATGGTTCCAGGTACCACAACTACTATGATAGCACAAAGAGTGGCCTTCCAGTGCCTACATCCTACTTCTGTCTATGCAGGCCTAATCAACCTTCTTATTGTTTGCTAGACGTAAGGCTTTTGTAGAAACTAGTTGCTACCTTTTCTGACAATGAGAGGAGTCTTGGCTCTGACAAAAATTGAATCATGACTTTTAAATGTAATGAAAGATATGTCTTCCTGGAAAAGGCCCTGATTAAAAGTTAAAGGCTTTTAATAAATAGGGCTCTGTTAACCTGGAGTTGGTTGTAGAAAACCACTGGAATTGAGATTCACTTCCTTTTTCCTTTGGTTGGCAGCACAGTAATAGTGTCCTTCCATCCGCCTTTTATTCAAGTTACTTTGTGTATAAATGCAGCACTTACATTCGTCTAGATGGGAAGAAAATAGTATGCCTGTTAACTGGCTAATTACTTGGGTGAAGAAATGGTACTATATGCGTGTTCCAAATGAAGGATGAGTGGGAGATATAGATTAATTAAAGGGTGGCACAGATTAGTTACAGTTTCCATATGGATTTATTTACCCACCTAAAAGAGATTGCGCATAATTATAGGCCAGATTATTTGTAAATGCACCTCTATTTGAAAATGGTTCACTGTCAGCCTCCTATCCCTGTAGTACCATCAGCCATGTGTAACGTACTTGTTTCCTAGGGTGTTAGGGGTTGTCGGCATTCACAGTGATATGGAATTTCATGCATCAGGCTTTGGCCAGTTGGAGAACTGCCTGCAGCTGTCCTGTTCTCTCCACCCCATTGATACCAGTCAGGTGTCAGCATAGGGCTGAGGAGCGTGGGAACTCTGTAGCTCTCACTAACATAGCAGTAGGATTCCCGTACAGCCATCAGCTTGTTGCATTGGCTATGTTTTGCTGTGAACATAGTGACAAACTTGCCAAAGCTGTTGCCAGAGAGGTGGAGAGAAATATGGCTTCTTTCAAGCTTTTGTTTTCCTGACAGGAAAAGGAAGTTATTAACTAATGCCTTGAAAAAAAATGACTTTCTCCACTTCTATTGTTGCAAGCATGTGTTGCTCTGATAAGAGGGTCCATCTCAGACCATGCTAAGGACACGAGGAGAGAAGGGCTATGACTGCCTGTACTTCATGTTTTGGAGCCCAGGAGGGATGCAGTATGGACCGATCCAGCCCCCATGGGGAGGGGAGTGGGGGAGAGACCTCCTGCTTTGAATCTGTAACAGATACCAGCAAGCTCTTTCTCTTCTCCTCCCCATCTTCTGCCTGGATTGGAGAGAGAAGAAACCCATGCCATTTCAGGAAAGAATAACTCTTAGCTAATAAGAAAATATCTCTTGAACTGGAGAAAATGGACTACATAAAATCATTTTATCTAGCCTGTCACCCATGGCATCTTACTGGTAAAAAGCTTTGAGAGAAGAGATGATAGTGTGTGCACTCCATGGGGCAGTTACTTCTCCAACTCTAATTCAGGACTGCCTTCCTCTTGCTTTGAGAGCCCAAATGGATGGGCAGGAGAAGTGTTATGTAGCTTTGGACTCTGCAAATAAAGGGGGTTTAGACAATGTGAGTCTGGAGCCCTGACTACATTCATTAGCATCCCTTTTGCCTCTCCAAACCTTCCCGGTTCTATGTCTACAAGTTAACCCTGACCACATTGTCAACAGCAGCTTGTGGCTGGCGGTGCTCTGAGCTGAACCTGCAGGAGAAGTTGGAAGCTGGAAGCAGAATAGGTCCTCTGCATGGTAGCAAGCATCTTAAGTTAAACAATGCCCTCTGATGGCAAGCAACAGAGCTGCAGGAGGCTCAGCCAGCATTCTCAAGCAATGGCTCATAGCAATTTTGGCATGAGGGGCAGGTGGCTAAGACTATGATATCAGGCAGGGATAGTAGCTGATACTGAAAAGAAAGAAAAACTCTGAAGCTCACATACTAATACTGATGCTTTGCTTCTATAGCTTGCTAGGCCAGGGAAGCAAAATCATGGACATGCATCTTCAGGCATTTGCAGTTGTAGCAATTGATAAAAGATGTTAGCAGTCTTGTTATTTATGCTGTGTAATGTAATGTGTTGAAACTGGGAATAGGAGAGAAATCGCAAGGATTTCACCTGCTGTCTTCAGGACCTTTCTGTTTTGTGAATTTGATGAAAATGTATTACTATTTTTCACCCTTTATTTGAAAACTCCAGTGTGTGGCACAGACACAACAATTGGGCTAATAACTCTTAATCTCTACAACATGGTTCCATTGTGTCCAGAATTTTTGAACACATGGTATGTAGGTTTATCAAAGGAGAGAAATCTAGGTTACTTTAAAAAGAACAGGAATGCCTACCAGTTCATCATTAAATCATACATTTAGATCAGTTCATCCAAGGTTTTCTGAGTAATTGTTGATATATAACCTCACCAGTACTAAAAGGCTACTTGGACATATTTTGATACGCTCATTCTCCCACTGTCCCTAAATATGCATCCATCATTGATAGAAGCAGAGGACCTACCTTAGCTATAGTTCACTTAAGGTTTGTTTTCTTAGTCCTTTTTGCAGGCCTGTTGGCCAGTGCTCTCAGTATCTGCAAAGGACAGAATGGCTTCTGTTGTCAGCCTCTCTTGCACAAGTGCTTTTCTCTTCATCTCTCTAAAAGGTTGCTGGTATGAGGACATTGGTAGTGATGCACAGAAAAGCAGAAGAGTTGCATCTACTGTGTCCCCAAGAATTGTTTTGGGATCTCTGTTTCTTTTAATGTTCAGTAATAAAGATATGTTGGATTGAGGGGTAACCCATCACTATTAATGAATCATTGGCCTCATTCCCAAGTTGCCTGAAGTGCAGCTCTCCCTTGTGGAAGTAATTTGGTCTTTGAAGTACTTTCCAGAGCTGTCAACTAAAGTTCCACAGTTCCCAGAGGAAATAATAAGCCAAGAGTGTGCACACACTGAAAAAGTAGTGTCTAAAATGAACTGTTCCTATAGGAGCCTGGCAGTCTGCTTCTCTGTGGAATTCAGCTTGTTTATATAATCTTATCTGGCTAAGCTTTGGTATTTCGTCTGGCAGGCAGTTCCTATGAAAAGCAGCTGTCCAAGCAATGGGAGTGGTGCTCCTGGTGTTTTTTCAGAAGGTTTATAATTTCTTGTTTCATGTCAATTAAAGAAATACAATACTTTTTTGGCTAAAACAAGATGCTTTAAGCAGTTTTCTTCCTCTTTTATAAATAGCTGCTTAAATATGCTCCACTGTGATGCATTTATTTATTTTTTTGTGAATTGACTACATGATTCCAGTGGAGTATTCACAATAGCCACTACAAAGGGAAATATTTATATTCAGTCAGCACAAGTGCCTGAGGCCGCCTATAACTTTGTTAGGAAGTAGCTGATGGTTACCATGAGTATTTGCCTGCTTGTTGTGTTCTGGGCTGGTGTTTTCTGTTCCAAAAGTGTATTTTTAGCTTAGTTTTTGACCATGTCTGGAGACTGTGCCAGATAAGATTTCTGTAGTTGGGAGTGAGAACATGCTGTCTTACCAGGTTTTGGTATTGTTGGACAAAGGGGAGGGAACTCCACCAATCCAAACAAAATCCTTGTAGGCATGAACCTAAAGAAAAGTACTCTTCAAGGATGGTGTCATCTCTACAACTAATAAAGTGATTGGGAAGGGAGTTGTTTTGATGAGAACTCACCATAAAAATTGCATCTGTTTTATTAGTGAAGGTACAATCATAAATCTGATTTCTGACCTGGAAGGCTTATCAGCATTTTTTCTCAAAATGCATTATAAGTGAATGCATTCTGGGTCAATAATGATTGGTAGCCACAGAACTTGAAGTGGGTACTTTTAATGTGTAACATTGCTTTGGGGTGTCTTGTAGGACAAAATTGGTAAGTTTGGGATTCTTCCCCCATGCCTATTATAAATATATGTATACCTGCTGAATTTTAAAAGGTTAATGGAAAGTTAATTGTCAGCATAGGTCAAGTCCTGCTCAAGTCTACTGTAATCCAGTGATCAGCTGTCATCCCTATGTTTTATGCATGCAAAAGTTCCATGTAGCATCCTTACAACACCCCTCTCCAATAAGAAGGATCAGCATACAATGCTCAGGTGCAAACAGACTAGTATGAATAACATCAGTCACACTTTACATTTAGTTTAATTCATGCTGGCCTCCTTCAGACTTCACATTTTTCTTATACAGTGTGAAATACAGGACCACTGAGGAGGTGTTCTTTGCATTACCATCCTGTACAAATGTTTGTGCAGTCTGTCCCACAGAGGGATGAGTTCTGTTCTGCAACAGAACAACTTGCTGTGATGTCGAATTTTACCCAGTTGCCTCACAGACTACTGCAAGCTCCCCAGAGTAACTGTTGAGCTCTGTTAGGAAAAATGGAGTTACTGCCTGAAACTTTTTATGGTGAGGAAACTCACTACTATTTGCTACTGTATCATAAACACATACCAATATAATCTGTGTGGCTGACGCAGACGATTTGTAATTCAGTCTGGCAAATACCAACTGAACAGCTTATTGCTGAAAATCAGTAATAAGCCACAGTTTGATAGAGTTGCAAACTTGGAGAGAACTTGTTTAGCTAATAATTTTTTTCTCCACTTCTAGCCTCACCACAGTTTTTCTTTGACATTCTTCATGTGACTTATGTTTTCCATGGTCCTGTTGTCATGGAAACTACTGATATAAACCTTCAGCACAGCTATTTCCCTGCAGGATAAAGCAGAGGCAGAAACCATAAAACACATAATTATATTCCTGTAAAAAAAGAAAAATTGCCCAAGTAACTGTGTTTGAGTTAGCAGGTTCTCCCAAACCACATGCCAGCAACAATTATATGTCATCATGTAGCATATATCTTTATTTTAATTCTTTAATACTTTCTTTGCTTCTCCTGTCTCCAAAGCCAGGTAGTTGCCTCGCTTATAGCTGTAAAAAGACCAACATTCATTAATGTTCAGTTTTAAACTGGACCTCCTATCGCGCCATTCTCATTTAACATGAGGACTAATACTGCAGGACTGGCCAGTGCCAGAAACTTATGATTGACTTTGTTAAAAACTGAAAATCCCAGTTCAGTGAGATACAGGATTTGTTTCTAGACTTGGTTCCTTATGAGAGAGAATTTTCTTCAAAAATACCAGTATAGCACAAAAGATGGCTGTGATGTGCCCCTCACTCATGTCTAATGCATATTTGAAGGAAAAGTAGTACTAGCTGTATGGGAAGGGCAGAGGCAGATCCGGCGGGGTGGCAGGGCCATGCCCCTCTTTTTGGCAATTCAAGGCATGTCAGCACAGCTCCTGTGGGGAGTGCTGCATGTGCCATGAGCTCCAAGCTCACCAGCTGGTTTGTGACCAGAGCCCCTGCTTTCATCCAGCTCCAGAGGGTGAGCAAGGATACTGTTTGCCTTCCCTGCCCACCCCCTGCTGAATTCAGCATCAGGGGAAAAGAGGGGATGAGCAGCAGCCACACTCAGTCCTTGAGCTCCATAGTTTTATGAAAGCCAGGGCTGAGCTCTGCTGCCACTTGTTCCTACTGCTGAATTGGGCAAGAGGCAAGGGGAGGAGATGGGGAAGGGCAAACAGCAGTAGCAGGCAGCACTCACCGCTTGGGCTACAGAAACAGACTTGGGGCAGACCCCATGCTGACTAGCTGGTGAGTTCAGAGCTCACAGCACATGGAGAACTCTGGCTGGAGCAGAGGGGGAGGAGGCATCCTGGCATGTGCCAATGAGCTCTCTTCACTTTGCATGTGCCACACAGCTGAAGGGGGTATAGCCACACACAAACCCTGCCAGGATCCTGGATCCTCCTATGGGTGAAGATAGTTGTTTTGAAGCTGTTCAGATGTTGGCATGCTAGAAATGGAGTACTGAGCTGAGTGCAGGTGAGAGGGTCAGGAGAGCAAAAACAAAGATGTTCTGTCTTGTTTCCCCTCATACCCAGTGGTTGCAGAAATAAATAAGATTGCTGTTACGGGTTACCTTTAAAACAGTGATAGCACAAGGCTGGGGCCTAGAGCAGAGCTGTGATCCGCTCCTTGCATGTCCCCGCCCACAGAACCGATGCCTGTCACAGGGCTGTGTGGTGAGCAGATTGCAGCTCTGTCTTGTCCCACAGCCCCATGCTGTCACCACCCCATGAGCACAGCCCTGACCCTGCCTACCTGTCTTGCTACTGGACTCCACTCCCTGCCCACTTGTGGCCCCATCCCATCCACTGACCCGAGCATGCCCTGCCGACAGGGGTGGCCCACCCACTCCATCTGGCACCCCCAGCAATGGGTATAGGGCAGACAGGTCAAGGTGCAAGGTGCCTGGGCAGCAGAGCAGGGCACGCAAAAAGTCCCGGGTGTCAGGGTT